CCCCCCCCCCCCCCCACTGAATATCAACTACAAACCCGACCCCGCCCCCCCACCCCCATAAGCACAATTCGATCCAGTCCCTAAACAGCTTAGGACATTATATGAAATCATACATGACGTACAGACCATCACAATGCGCTTTTATGATTGGAATGGCAAAATAACTCTGTCTGTGATGAAATTCATGCGAAAAAGCCCCAGAAACTGAACTTTGAATCAAAGAAAATTCCAATTATGGGAGAAAAAAAAGGGAAAAATTCCAAATTCGAGCACAGACAAGCTCACAACTTGATTTTATTCAGGAGATTTGGGAGACCAGGAGGTGGCTCTTGATCCGGGAGACTCCCGGATAATCTGGGAGAGTTAGCATGTATGTTATCATTCATGAATTAGGGCTAGGAGACAAAGGAAATTGAGAATCAACCTAGGTAAAAAAAAAATAACCTAAATTTAATTTTGACCTGTAACATCACTGACTGCTGTATAAAATTATTATGTATTATTTTTATTTGAAAAGTTAAGAAATTTTTCTTTTTTTGTCATGCAGTCTAAACTACTATTTATATTGTAAATGCAAAAAAAAAAAAGGGTTAATGTTGATTACTTAAGGACTGATACGGTAACTTGACCATGAAGTTCTTGATTGAAGAAAAAGTCCCTGCAAAGATTTGTTAAATTCCAGCTTACTTTCATGTGGTTCGGACCTTTCCTGGAACATAGTTTTTATCTATAATAGGATCCGTAAGAAACATATGCAAGCAGCGTTCATTTTGAGCCAGGGGATGTCCAGATACCCTACAAACAAGGTGAAGGAAGAATACAGCATTAAAAAAAGACCTAGGATATCTCTACTAAGCTCTAGGGTGCTAATATTTTTCATTGGAGTTTCATTTCCTCTTGTGACTACTACACTTCAACTTTAATTTATTGCTCTTATGATTCTGAGTATAAGGAACAAGAAATTTAACAATGTTTGCCACACAAAATTCAATTCAGCTTTAGTGACATTTTCTTCCAACTGTGACTGAAGTACAATGGTAGACAATGTTTCGATTACTATTCACAGACCTCTTTCACTTGCCACCAGTTCACACAACAAAAAAAATTTGAACAACTAAAGTGGCTTCATTAAATCTATTTAATAGCCAAAACAGTTTTCATTTTGCTTTTTCTGCTTAAGTTTATAGCAATAAATCTGAGACAAAAGAAGGAAAAATTTACCTGATTAAAATGGTTTTACACCAAACAAAA